GTGTGCTCTTCCGATCTCCCCAAAACCCCAAAACCCCTTGATCATAAAATCAAGCAAGTTAAATTGATTTAGAAATCTTAAGAATCATGTTCTTAATAACTTATAATAATATTATTAGTATAATGTAAAACTTCAAATATCTCTTTACTTTTTCTTTATTACCCTGTGTAAGTTAATATATACTCATTCAATATCACTCTATAGTTAATTTTATAATAAACATGCTTCACAACTAATCTATATCCAAGATTGATCGGAGGTACTTCTGATAATACCTAGTTTAATGTAGTTGATTAGGACAATACAGGAAATACAGTAATCGGTGGTTCAACTTTTGATAATGATGTCTCATTATTAATGAACCAGAAGCCATTAATAGTATATGTAAAGAAAGGAGGAGAATTTAAGTGGTCTTTTATAATAAACATTTTGTCATACATCTCTATTTCAGCTATAAGTTTTAAGGATGGATCCACGTCAACAATTGCTTTTTCTCTTGAATCATTAGTATCTTCGACTGATCCTTTAAATGTAATGCTAATTAGTTCAAGCGGAATCACTGCCTATATATTTACTTCAACTAGTGGAATTAAGGGCTATATACCATCTAGTGGATTAAAATTTGAATCAAGTGGCAATTTTTACTTAGCAATGCATCCTGAAAGTACAAATTAATTTTCAATATTAAAATTTGGATCCACTGCTTCAAATAAAAATACTGTATTCTATTGGAAATGGAATTAAATGCCTTCATATGCAAATGTAGTCGCTAATGATGATTATGCAAGTATTTACTATTTTGGAGGCATTTTAATTGACAATGGAGGAAATGTTTGTACAGCAATCGTTATAGCTTTATTTGATGGAAGTATTCAATAGATATTAGCCATAAGGTAAAAATATTCAGATTACAAATTTACAATAATCAATTTTAGAAAACCATCAGCCAGTTAATAGTTTTCGATAAAACGATTGGATTACTTGCATGATACATCGACTAATACATATTGTTTAGCAGCTTGCTCGGAGGATGGTTCTGATGTAATGATTCTCAAACTCAATGTGAATCCTTCTACTGATTAGGTATCCTAAGGAACACAAACGTAGGATAAATTTTTAAACTTAATCTTTATAGTATAATAAATGGTTTTTCTCAATGCATTTAAGTTAAATTGACTAATTGCTAGACAATAAGATACCTTGTAGCTTCTGATAGCAATCTACTTCGACTTGGAATATTAGATATTTCTTAGCAAAAAAATCGATATAAAGACATTGATTATTACACATAAAGTCCCGAGAATAAAATGTCTGATGGTTGGATGGACTCGACACAGAATCTTTATGTAGGAACTATTAAATCACTAATTAGTGAAACCCCTACAACATATACATTTACTAAGAATGTTGGATGGCTAATGAATACAGACCCAAATTTAAGCTAAATTACAATTACTAATTAAATGTCAACTCCTTTAGCTTACACTGTTGAAAACCTGATATTTTTAACACTGAGCGATTCGTTTTAACCCCAACCATTAAGCTTTACTTATGCAGCTTAAACTACACCGAATGCAGTAACTTATATAGTTCCATAAATTATAATAAGTGATCGAAAATCAATTACCAAAACAGATATTGCAGATCAATATTACTCTATAGGTTCTTAAACAGTTGTTGTCTTAGTCCCTGCTTTTACTCTCCTTGAGACTTGCTCAGATTTAATTTTTAAATATGGAGGTATAATAGGGGAAGCCAAATCATTTATATCGTTTAATTCAATTACAAGAGGTTTTTCTATATATACCTCGGATTAAGCTAAAGCTGGGATTTATACAATAAAAATGATAGGTAGAATTAACAATGAGTAGAGTGCTGAAGTTGCGATTTAATTAACTGCAATAGGAGTCTGCACATTTGCATAAATTACCTCTACCACTTAATCAAACATAGAATATTTTTTAAATAGTGGAAGCTAGAGTTTTACTTTAGATAATTTTAACATCAATACAACTAGCTGTCCAATTACATATACTTTAACAAAAATTAGTTCTGCTGCTAGTTCTAATTTTTTCACCTTTACCAGTTCATCAAGGAATTTGATCATTTAAACAACTTTAGTAAGTGACATTGGAACATTTATTTTCGAACTAAAGGGCAAAAATCCTACAGGATCATCTCAGGCAACATAACAGCTTAGCATTTAAATCAAGCATGAGTGTGAGGATGATGAAATTACACCATCAACAGTTCTTCCTTAATATAATTATCTTATTGAATCAGGGTTAGCTTAATCTTAGTTCACTTTAAGTTGGACACACACTAATTCTTAATGCGGAAGTATAATAACGTATTAAGTGGTAAATCAGGCAAATAACTCAACCATTGATGCTATATTCTATATAGAAGATAGCATATTTTACGTTTTTACAACTGATGAGCTAAAGATTGGTACTTATAATCTTAGGATTATTGCAGGAACAGCTTATAAATCACTGATACAAAATTTTATTGTAGTTGTAGAAACAGATTGTCCCAATGCTGTAGTCACTTCAGAAACCATAATTGATAAGACATATACTTTAGGCAGTCCGATTTAGACTTTTTAATTTATATGTTGGGGTCTCTCTTAGCCAGAGTGTGGTCCTATAGTATATACTTTGCTTATTGATAGTTCTCCAAAACCCTCTTGGGTTTCATTTGATTCTACTTCTCGTACTATAAGTTTTGAAACTAGTGACTCATCTGCAACTGGCACTAAGATTTTTCAGATTACAGGGACAACTACTATCAGCAGTATTTCCTAACGTGAAATTTTTCAAGTAGAGTTCATTAATCCTTGCAATTCAGTAATACTCAGTTTGTCAAATACAATCAGTAACCAAGTTATCTACCTTAATGAAAGTCCAGTAAAAACTCTAGCATTGCCAGCAATAACACAATCTTCAAGCACTATTGATTGTGGATTGATCATTCAGACTATTACGACAGATTAAAACAATCCTGTAGATTCAAACATTTTCACATATCATTTATCTAACAATAGCATTACAATGTTTTCCAAAGATAAAACTAAAATGATTTATTCACCATTTAAAGTCAAAGTAGTTAATAGGCTTTAAGCTTACCCAGCTATATCTTAAACTTATTAGTTTTCAGTTTCCTTGTTAATTGATTGCTAATTCGATTATTTGACAGCCTCTACAGTTTAAAGTGTAACCTATGTAGTTAAAGACCAATATTCGATGAAGCTATCAGACTATATCTAATCTTTTCTTAGTGACCATTGTGGTACTATTTCATAGTATTAATGCACTGATGAATTCACTCTCTTAGATTGTGCAAACAATCATATGATAACATTCAACACTAATTCAGGATTACTAATAATAGAGACATAGGATGCAAATAAGGTAGGAATTTATAAACTTTAGATTGTTGCAACACATAACAATAAACAAGCTACATAAAGTGTCAATATAGCAGTTACCAAAGATTGTAGAAGTGCAGTAATAACTAAATCTGCTTTATCTGCTCTTAGTTTTGACATAAGTAATGGAACTAAAAATTACATTACTGACATACCATGGACTAATGACATGATTGCATGATGCCCAATGACCTATTAGTTAATAGATTCAATTACAAATCTTGCTCCTATTAACACTGTATTCAATATCATTGACAATAACAAAATCTAAATTTCAGTATCAAGTAATACTCCCCCAAAATAATACTTAATATATGTTACTGGATTTGCTCATGCTTCTGTATAATCTTAAGAAACTTTGAGTGTAAAAATTACAGATTTATGTCCATCATCACTAATAACGACTCAACCCATTTAGAATTAGGAATATACCACAAGTGATCCAGCTAAAACTATTTAATTTGATCCTTGGATATCTTCTATTTCTTATTGTACTAAGTTTTCCTACTCAGTAACTTATAATGGTTCAAATACGGCTCCAAATTTTATTTTATTCACTTCTCTCAATAGAAGCTTTACTATATATACAAACTCAATCAGCAATTTAGGGCAGTATCAGATTAAAGTTAAGGGTATTATTAGCAATGGCAATTCTGAACGGATAAATTTTAACTTATCCGTCATTGTCGCTTGCTCTCAAAATGTGATCTATACATTAGATTTTGGAATACCAAGCTAAGTTTAATACAATATAACATTACCTTAGATGGTTCTTGAGTTCAATAAATTTTCAGATATAAGTAATTTAAGATGCGGTCAAATGACTTACAGTGCTACTTATAATGGATTGAACCCATTTCCATTTTAAGACGTTATAAAATTTGACAGCAACTAGAGATAATTCAAAATTTAAACGAATGATCCAGGCTACAATAATACAGTCCTGACAATATTTGTAAATGCTGAGGTTGATCTTGCAATAAAAACACAGCAATTTTAAGTAATTCTAATATATTTATGCCATGTTGATTAATTAATCCCATTTCAAGTTAATGGGCAGAATTATTCAAGAAGAGAATTGATTGAGTATAGAATAGGGAGTGGTAATTATGAAATTGAATTTGAAGAATTTGTCAAAATTGAGAACTGTATCTATCCAATAATTTACACTATCGAAATTTTAGGATTCAATAGCAATCCCTACTTTATTGATAGATCTGGGATAAATTAAAGGAAAATAGTTATAAAGTTAGATGATAAAAATGAAGGATTTAATTCAGATTATGTCCTAAGAGTTCATGGTTCAGTCAATAACATAAATGATCAAATAAAAAATACTCTTACAATCCCTTTGAAATTAGTTGCAATTAATAACAGTCCTCCAAAATATACTTTTTAATTACAAAACATCAAGATGTAACCTGGAGAAATAAAGGATTTGATGTTTCCAGGTCTAATGGATATGGATGGAGATGAATCATAAGTAATTTAAGTAAATTTGGGATAGGCCTCATAATTCATATCAGGCACTTATCCAAATTATTAATTAAAGCCATCAGCAGATATATTTGGTTCTTATAAAATATCGGTAACAGTATAAGACATTAATCCTAATCCAAAGTAGCAAAAATACACATTTTAAATTTAGGTTGAAAATATATTAAGCCCCTAATCCAATAATGGTGCTTAAAATTAGGATTAAAACTAGACAAGAAATTTTAATTGATCTGTAAGTAACAACTAAACATTGATTGATTTGTAAGACCTGGACTTCTCATCAAATAGTAACACTAGTTTTTCAATAATTACCTAGCTTAATAATGATTCAGATCACATAAAATAAAATAAACCACTATTTGCTTTTATTTCTAAGATTAGTATTGGCGGATTAGCAACAATTTAGTTTAGTTCAGCTGTAGTTATTCCAAATAAATTTGACCTGTTTGATTAAAGAATTCTAGTTTTAAGAATAAAAGTAAGCATTTTATAAATATTTCAAAATATAAAGGATATAGAGGGGAAGATTTAAAACGATTTGAATTATACATGGAAAATTATAAAATTTAACGAGAAAAGTTTCTAAATTTAGTTATAATTTTAGGAGCCTTAATTGGTATCTGCTAAGGTAATATATTATGATTTTTAAACATTATATACTGCAGGAATAACATTATCTATCAATAAGCTTCAAGGGAAATGGTTTGTTTAGAGATTAGAAATGGAATTAACTCATTGCATACATGTTCGAAACTAATCGTTTTATTCCAAGATAAATCTTAAATGACGTAGCTACTAAAGCTCTATAGTAAGCAGGAAATACAGTGTCTACTGGAGTTGGTTCAATCGTATATGGGACTTTTGCCATTAATCTCTTATTGTAAGCAATTATCTGATGATTTTATTCAGAGCTGCTTCACTGTAGCTTTTATGGGGAATGATAAATGTGTTCTAAATGATAATGCATCTTCCAATATACAATCTCTAGTTTCCTGCTAACTCTGTTTTTTTCTTCAATTTGATTATTGGAATTTCAAGTTTTGATATATTACCTACACCAGAAATTGAAAGATAGATATTTTAATTTAGTGATTCATGGTCTGATTAGAATTTTTAGTAAATGGATATCTTTAATATTTTTAACTGCTCTTGAATTAATTGGCATTTCTATACCATAAAGTTATGATTCAACTAATTCAGTTACTAATTTAGGTAGTATGTTTATTTATTTAGTAGGGACTACTTCTCTGATATTGTTTTGCTTAATCTTGAAGATTTTGGCAAAATATTTTGTCCTGTAAGTTATAAACATTGATTTATATGAGTTAGAATAGATAAGTTGTATAGATTTATATCAAGATATCTGTTTTTCAATATTATAATAAGAATAATTTTAGAAGGATATATGGTATTTGCCATTAATGCAGGATTAAACATTTAGAATGTATATTATGCTTTTGTTTTTATGTTATTTGTAGCTTTAAAATAGTAACTCTAGTGATTAGTTCGCTTCTGTTTTTGCAATATGCTTATTCGGTGCAATGATATTATTTCCAATTACTATTTGGGCAATTACATTTGCTTTTAGAAATAGATTGGATAATTAAAACATTAGAGCTAGAATCGGAGCATTGTATAATGAGATAAGAGTAACTAATAATGACAAGAATATAACCATACTATATAATGTGATTTACCTTCTAAGGAGACTATCATTTTCATTGGTTGCGGTAACTCTGTAGGATTACCCATGCTAATAGATTTAGTCATTCTAATTAACAAGTATTTTAATTCTCATCTATGACATCAGTGTAAAGCCTTTTGAAACAAGAAAATTAAACTTGATTGAGATATTCAATGAAATGACTATTCTAGTAGTATCTTATTTCATGTATTTGCTTACAGATTATGAATCAAATGCTGAGAGATAATACCTCATAGGCTGGTAATTGATAGCAATAGTTACTTTGAATATGATTGGAAATATTGCGATGATGATGATACAGTCAATTAAATCACTTAAAAGCAATTATAAGGCACTTAAATTAAAATTGATGAAGCTAAAATAAAGCGTAGCTTCTTAATTTAAAAGAATAAAAGTATATAAAGAAAACTAATAGTGTGAATCATCAGTGTTTAATAATCATCATGAGTTTCAGTAATTAGAATAGCATACTTCTTTAACTGATTTGTCAATGATTTAATCCTAAACTTTGACTAAATTTGAAGAAATCAGCCTGGAAACAGAAGAGCCATTCTTTGCAAGGCACCAAAAGCAGAAATTTACATAAGGTCTCTAAAGCTAAAATGATGAGGTAATTCCAAAGTTATAAAGCTATCAAAGCATCATAAAGTAATTATAACGGGAAAGAAACTTTGCTTTAACAAAAAATTAAGCTCAAATATAAGACATTAATGACCTTAGCAATCTTGGTTTGAATCCAAGCTTCTAAAGCTAATAAAAAAATTTCTTTGAAATGCAGTTTGATCCATAATTATTAAGAAATATTACAATAAAAAGTAAAACAAAGCTTACCAAACAATTCCCAATACAGATTCCTAAGAATTTTTAGTTAGATAATCAAGGAATATTTAAAGATGAATTAGAATTGGAGAGAAATTAATAGCAAGATTACTAATCTACACCTTTTTAGTCTTCTATAGATTCTGATCAGGCTTAAGATATTATTAAGAATATCATCGAAAGAAAAGGACTGAAACTTTAATCCATGTTTGGAAATAAAAGGCATATAAATGATATTTAACAAGTGATGCCACCAAAATAATAATAATCAGTTTAACCAAATTTAACTACCTATAATAATTCAACTAATATCTCACCAAATATATTCAATAAAATAGAAAAGAAGAAATCAGATATTTGGGATTAAAATACGCTCAATCATGATAATCAATCTGGAAAAAGACATCAATTAAAAAATAATGTTGTCAGCGATAGTGTTGAAGAAATTATTTAAGATGATATTTGGGAAAATTGATTATTCACACTTTTACTCTATTTATTTTTATATTACTCAATTTTAATTTTTAAATGAGGATTTTGTATGGTGGGGTTTTGGGGTTTTGGGG